AGCTGTGACCATCCCACTCTTCAAAAGGAAGGCACAAAGGGCATGTCATTTGTTGCCTTTGTACTGGTCTGATTTATGCATTAAAGCCTTTGGCAGAAGCCAAGCTAGGATTTTGAGTAAGGACTAGGATGTTTAGGTATGACTGACTTTTGCAGTTGGTTCTTCAGGACAGTGGGCGGGATGAGTATCAGAATGAGATACTGATCTTGGTCACATAACTTCTGGAACCACAGATCTCATTCACCCAAAAGAAAAACTGGCACAAGGGTTTTTCCACTTGCCTTCTTCTGGGTGTCAACAGTCTAGCTAGAGTTTCTCTGAGTCATAAACTACCTTAATCCAGATTTCTTAACAGGGCAGAGGTAGCAAAGTGTCCACAGGTATGTTACATGCTTACCTTCAAATGAATGATCACTGTGCCTAAAGCAATTAAGCCGATATGTCTCTTATCTACTTTGACTACATGCCCTGAAGGCTTTCAGTAGCACATTTCCCAAACTCAGAGGCCTTTGAAGTGTGTAAGAAGAATTAGAGAGGAAACGCTATCTCTGTACAGAGAAATAAATCTCTCTTCAGGGTTGGACAATCCATTCTATTTCCCCACCCCTAAATCAGACAGAAAGTGTATCCAATTTGAGGGGCTGGGTCATGTCCCCAATTCCCTGGCAAAGGAGGCTTTTGCAGATGTGGGTCAGTGAGTCTGCCTCAAGGATCCTGCAGAACCCTGAGGTCCAGTCCAGTGGAGAGCATGATATACTGGTCCTGAAGCAAGGAACCAGAATCCCCAGTTCCACCATCTCACGAACAACCCATGTTTCCTCACTCTTCTGTAAACCCCCACAAAGAGAAAACAGAAGGTTTGCCTAGAGGCCATTCAGTGATACTAAAGTGCTCAGATCCACGGCAATACTCCTCAGACTATACATTACAATGCAAATCTGTATGATGATACTCAGCTTTCTTGTTTTCTTGCTTAACAGAAAAAGGCACTTTGAGAGAAAGTGATTGGAAGTATGAGGTTCTGCTTAACCCTTTCTCATGCCCTGTCATTTTCCCACTCCAAATCACCCCCTGACAGATTCTTCTGTCTGAAGTATTTCAAATATGCCATCACAAACACATATTTGGCGCACAGTATGGGGGCAGGGAAGCTGCTCGGTGTACAATTTGGAAAGGAGAAATGGCAGGTGAGGAAAAGGTTAAGTTAAGCAGCCCTTCACTAGTCACTTCAATTCCAATTATCCCGTCTCAAAGTGCCTCTTCCTGTTAAGGGAGTAGGGGATCAGAAAAGTGAGTATGTAGCTGGTCCTAAGTAGCTAGGCTTGACTGTTCAGTAGGCATGCTTTTCTGCTAGCAGTTCAGTTGAGATCAAAGCATTAGCCATGGACCAAACTACATGTTACACTGACGTTCTATTGTTGTAACTGCTGGTGTAGTTTCCTTCTTCAAAATCCAGCTGCATTTGAAACAGCACCATGGCATAGTTAAATATTTGTAAACCTTTCCCTGTCATGCTGCAGCCCTGATCCAAATTACCCACTGAGGCTATTAGCCATGTAGGAAAAAACACGAACCCCCCCCCCAAATTCTGCCCATCTGCTTTTCCCTTTATGTTCCCTAATAGCAACTTTGAATGGGTGATTTAAGTTAGGAAACTGGTGTGGGAACAAAACGTTCCTAACCATCATAGCATGGTCCCTATGCAACCAACTGGCACCCAGGGGATCAGGATGCAAATCTTTGCCTAGCCCCATGCGCTCCCTATTTAGCCTTACACAGTTCATTGACTCATTCTTAATGCTAGATCCAAGGTAACATTTTCTTCCACGTGAATTCTTTGGGCATGATTCTGATGGAGGAGTGCACTTGTAAAACGGGATGTCTAGCACCAGTGTCTAGCACATTGATGGAGCTATATTAGGGCTTAAGCAACCTTTTTCTCTCTGTATTTCCTTGGGAGTAATCTGTCAGGGTCTAGAGTCACAAGTGGATATGACAGGAGTAAAGCCAGAAGCAAAGATGAGTGGGACCATCCCACTTTTCTCTCTCATCTTTATGCCACTCCCCCACCCCACCCCCAGCTTTTTCTTCCTTGCCACCTGCAAGAAATAAGGCAAAGGGCCGCATGGAAGTAGACCTATGACCACAGGGTTCCCACCCCTGATCTGTATCAATAAGGAAGGGAAAGAGGAGAAATGAATTAAAAATCCTCAGCATTTTCTTAGGAAGCATCTGAAAATAGATCAGGATACTAAATACCTGAGAGCTGGAAGCAGAGGCAGTGGCAACAGGAATCTTCTTCACTGGGTCATTGGAAAGACAAACAAAACCACAAGGGAAAGACTAGAAGCTGCTTTGCATAACTATGAGGGCTAGAAGCTTAGATGGCCTTGGAAAATGCAGAATGACATTACGTCCCCACGAGATTAAGCTCTGATTACAAGAAAGTTGTCACATTGTTTGTGAATATTTATTATTTTTAATAACGGTATTTGATATAATCCTTGAAAACTAAGTTCCAAGCATCTGTTTTCCTTTGAGTTCAATACATTAAAGAGCATAAAAATACATAAAGGAATCTTTTAAAGATGGATATTTCCTCTACTGTATGTGAACCTGGTAGGCAAGCCATTCATCTTCTGCAAACTCTTTAATGTTCATCAGACCTTTGAGTGATTGTTTAACAACAAAAAAGTGCCTCAGCCTGTAAAGTGAAAGAGGGAAAGAAAGGCAAAAAGGCAGGGGTATGAAACTGCAATGTGTTTCAACACCTTCCACAGATTCAGATTCACCACACACCCCTCTGGCAAAACTACAGGCAACCTCAAGCAGCCCTTCCAGTCTCTCTTGTTCTCTGATCTATGAAATTGATCAGAGATAAATGAAATCAGTTGGACCAGAAATTAGATGGGAGTCATTTCACTTCCTTTGCTGTTGTTACATTAATGAGCAATTATACATTAAGAACTATGAGGTGACTGATGTAATTAACCTCATAAACTGAGACTACTGAGGAAAGGAGGGGGAAGGCTTAGGACATACTTTGATGACAGTATTGTATGTTAAAAAAATATAGATAGATAGGTATTATTGGGCCCACTGTTAGCATGTTGCAATTGGCTTTGTAGATACAGCGAACTAGCACAGTTTCGTTTGTTTCTAAATGAAGGGTCATAAGAAGTGGAATATCTCAAGGATATATGTTGGGACAGGTGCTTTTCAGCTTGGTCATAAATGACCTAGAGTTTGGGATGAGCAGCAAGGTGGCAAAGTTTTTTGAAAACGCTGAATTATTGGTGGAAAAAAACAAAAAGGGATTGAGAGGAGCAAACTGGTTGGATGTGCAAAAAAAGTTAAATATTGTTCATTATAAACAAGTGTCAATTGATGCACATTGGGGCAATAAATCCTCATCTCACACATACACTGATGTGGTCTGAGATGGATGTGACTGGCCAAGAAAGGGGTCTTGGGTCATGGTGGATAATGCAATGAGAATATCAATAAAGCATATGCCAGGTGTGAAATGGGCAAATTCCATGCTAGGTATCATTAGGAAGTGGTTCTGGATTAAAACTACCAGTATTGTCAGTCCTTTACGCAATCCTCAGTGCAACCATGCCTGAATTCTCTTTACAGGGCTGGTCATTGCATTCCAAAAAGGATAGTTTAGAGCTGGGAAAGGTGCACAAAAGGGCAACAAACATGACCAGAGTAATTGCTCTATATGGAAAAGTTACAAATTTGGGGGCTTTGTAATTTAGAAAAATGGTAAGTAAAGGGGGACATAACAGAGGCTTGTAAAATTATGCATGGCATGCAGAAAGTGGAGAAAGAAAAGTTTCCATCCCTCTCATAACACTAGAACTCAAAGTGCTCTAATGAAGCTGAATAATTCAGGACAGACAAAAGGAAATACTTATTCACACAGTGCATAGATAAGCTATGGAATACCACAAGACATGAGGATGGCCACCACCTTAGAGGGCTTTAAAGTGGGGCTTAGACAAATTCATTTAAGATAAGGCTATCAGTGCATAACTACTATCTCCAATCTTCCTCTAGTTGCCAGTTGCTGGGAAACAGAAGTGGGAGAGGGCTATTGCCATATATCTCCTACATGTGAGCTTCTAACAGGTTTCAGGCTTGCCGCTCTAGGAAACAGGATGCAAAACTAGAAAGGCCTTTGGTCTGGTTCAGTAAGGCTCTTCTTCTGTTCTAATGCTCGCTTTCTCTCTCTCTCTCTCTCTCTCTCTCTCTCTCTCTCTCTGAGCAAGGACATTTGATGACAAGATTCTACACATGCATCAAGTTCCTTATTTGTTCTGCCTTGTTTTGCCATTCCCAGGGCTTCAAAATATCAGTTTGTTGGAGTACGCAATCTGTTATCTCACAGAGAGCTTTCAAAAGAAAGACAGACACACAACATAGATCCACACCCAACAATTCAGCAGAACAACGGATGTAGCCCAACAGCAGCACCCTCCTCCCCCCCAAAAAAAATGTTTTAAGCACCCAGCCAAAGTAATGAGAACATTTCCCCCCTTTTTGTCAACATATATAACAATATATGCAAATAGATTTCAAATTACCCTTCCACGTTGCATTTTCACTGTCTCCTAGGAAGAGAAACGGCTGATTGAAGTTTTGTGCTGGACTAATTGTGATGTGAGGAGCTCTGGGCACTTATTACTGGAATGAGCAGGCTGGATGGGGGAGCGGGCATGGGGGGGGGAGCGCAGAGGATGAAAAGAGAGATCCAGCTACTCCTTTCTCTGAGCTCCTGAAGCGTAAGGGAGTAATCATTTCAGAATCTGGAAGGAGAGGGGTAAAAAAACGCAAAGGATCACGCAGGAAGGCTAATCGCCCCCGCCCTTCCTGCACTTGAGAGACAAGAAGGGTTACTATCACTTGCAGATGCTTGGGAAGAGGATCTAGGAAGTGGAAGGTTGCCCCCCCCTCCCTCCTTCTCCTCCGCGCGCCCGCCAACCCTCCTCAGTTTTCCCAGCAGCACCCCGGGCAAAGAGGTAAAAGAGCTGTTCTTCAGCACCGCGGAGTGATCGGTGCAGGGGAGCTGTCCATTTCAGCACCACCACGTTAATGCAGTAGGTGGGAGCGGAACTAGCAAGGCAAGAAGAGGCGCGAGACACCGACGAGCAGCATATCCTGCAGCAAGCCTCCTGGTTCCCCTGATCTTCGGAAGCTTTGCAGAGAGGGGGGAGGAAGGGAAATCCGTCTTGCTTCTCCGGGAGAGACTCCCCCCTCCTCTGCCCATTTTACCACCACTACCAACATCACCACCAATCACAACAACCGCTGCTCTGCCGCTGCCGTGAAGAGGGGGGTGAAAAGCCATGGAAGGCAAAATCTCAGCACCTGTTCAGCTGAAATCAAGGGCTTACAATATACTGGCAAGTCTAGTTCGGTGGTAGAAAACGGGGAGCGGAGGGAAGATCTGGAACGAGAGCGAGCCAACAGACGAACAAAAACCCCACCAAAAAAAAAAAAAATATCCGAAGAAGATAACTGGAAAGAAAAGGGATTTTTCATGGCGCAGGCTGCAGAGCTGAGCAAGAAGACTGAAGGTTGCATCTCTGCTCTTACAGTCTCTAACTGTCTAGGTCCAGATAATGAGAGAGTGTGTTGAGGATGCTGTTTCTGTTGCCGCTGCTGCTGCTCCCCTGTTCACTGTGGAAGCCATCTCCAAATTAGCCATTACATATGGAAACTGGAGACCAGAATTTTAGAAAAAGGGATTAAGGCATCTCATTTTTGGGGGGGTTATCTATTTTTTCCTTTATTTTATTTTTATATAATATATATATATATATATAATATTAACCGCCGGAACGTTTCTCTTTTAAAAGGCAAGCCTCTTCCCGTGTGATTTTTTTTCCATTTACACTGATTCCGTGGGCTTTCTTACCTCCCTTTTTTATGTATAGATTTCTCTCTATTGATCTCGAATAGATACCCATTATATTATTATTATTGCTATTATTACTATTATTATTCTTACTAGAGGAAATATTATTCTTTTATTTTATTATTAACATACAAACACACACACACACACACACACAGCCCAAGAATCAGAAGGCGTTGGGTATTTGTATAATGAAGAATTATGGGGCTCTTTGACAGAGGTGTTCAGATGCTTTTAACCACCGTTGGTGCTTTCGCTGCCTTCAGCCTCATGACCATAGCTGTGGGGACCGATTACTGGCTTTACTCCAGAGGGGTTTGCAAGATGAAAGGTACCGGTGATAATGAAACCAGCAAAAAGAACGAAGAAGTCATGACCCATTCTGGATTATGGAGAACCTGCTGCTTGGAAGGTATTTGATTCCGAAGCTCAACCTCTCCCCCACTCCCCGTCCCCACTCCGTCCCATTCCCTCCCATCTCCCCCCCCCAAAAAAAATCTCCCCCCGTTCCACCATTTTCTCGCTCCAACCCTGCCGCCATGGAGCCAGGATGCTTGGGTTAGTTTCTGAGGAAAAGCAGTAAAGTTAGAAATAGCTCAGGTACACGTCCCCATTCTGTCCCCGCTAACCCCTCTTTCCCTTGTCCCCCTGGAAACCCTGTTAATGTGATCAATGATCTCTGTATTGTGAAAACATCAAAGGGACCGTCTTGTTAAAGCGTGTGTGTGTGTGTGTGTGTGTGTGTGTGTGTTCGAGCCGCCTCTTTCCGGATTCTTTACAGTTCCTTTTTGGAAAGCGAGCAAAATGTTATATTATTGGAGTGCGCTGTTGGCTTCTAATGACGGGGCGGTTGGAAGGGGGGGGCGGAATAATTGGTCTCCTTTTGCGAATGGGATGTTGATGACGAGAAGTCTGGGAGAGTGAAAAGAGGGGGGAAAGAGGCAGAGCAACTTCCTATGTCTGGTGGCGTGTTCTGCCCCCACACCCCCGCTTCCTCACATGTACAATTTCTTAGCATCAACAACAGATCTTGTTATGTCTCGGCTGCCTAATTGGGTAAACTCGAATGTTCCCAGTTTTCTCTAGCGGAGTTTGCGAGGGGCTTTCGTAACGTCTCCTCCAGGCTGCTTATATACAGCTTGGCTGTGTGTGGCTTATTTATTCTTTCTATTATTATTATTATTATTATTATTATTATTATTATTATTATTATTAGGCTGGTTTCAAGGGTGGGAGAGATCTGTATGCCCTTCTCTCGCCAAATGAACAAGTGGTGGAGAGAGGAAGGGGAGGGGAGAAGGGACAAAACCCTTTCCCTCTCTTCCCACCTCCCCACCCTCTGTAATAAGAAAGTGAACAAGAGCAAGTCCTCTCGCACCCGGATTGACATGTCTGATGGCAGCAGGAGAATCACTACGGCAGCCAGTTTTTGAAATCAGACGCTGGAAATAGGAGGAGGGGGTCCGGGGCTTTGCTTTGAAATGTGCTATTCAGCATGGCTCTCTCGGTATAGATGTGCAGGGCTGCGAGGGGGGGCGAGGGAGAGAGGGAGGGAGGGATGGAGCTGGGGGGGGCTCTTCAGATCGTGCGTGGAAAGAAGGAAGGGAGGCTGATGCAAACGTGGGGTGTTTTGTGGGCACGCAAAGCCTCGCCGTAATCAGACCGTCTGTTTTAAGAATAGAAGCTAACTTGGGGGTGGGGGGAGCGGGGGATGGGTGGGCACACACGCAGCATGTACATGGCTTGCCTCGCGTCCCCGCCTCAAACCCCAAGCTGAGGCCGATCGCGCTCGCCGGCGATGCCTCGGGGGTGCTGGGGGGGGGGGCAGATCCCGCAAAATAGGATGGCGGGGAAAGGGAGCAGGGTACTGGGAAGAGAAGATCAACCTCTCTCCCCTCGTCGTTCATGGCCTCTCTTGCCCCCAAGCCCACACCCGCCCCCTTTTTATAAAAATAGGGGAAAGTAAGAAGTAAGCGAGGGGGGGGCGGGTTGGACCTGCTGTTTGCAAATGGTTGTGGCCGGGAAGAATAGCGACATCCCCCCCCCCTTATTCTTGGTGCAAACGGTTGAGTGATGGCTGAACATGTTTTGAATAGCTAAGTGACTTCATTGAGCGATGGTCTGTTTGACGCATACTGCATTTGGTGCCCTTTCTCTCTCCAAGCCGCTGCCTTTTAACATATTCTGCAGAGGACTTCCATGCTGAATACTCTATGCTATCTCCCAGCCAGAGAGAGGCGGGTGGGGGGTGGGGAGGAATCAATATCGGAAAATTAATCGGCGGCGTTTTAAACACGCCAACAACACACACACCCCTCCAGAGAAGCGAATCTATCTGGAAATCTCTTCCCCTAAACACACACACATACAAATATTAAGAGCCTGTCAGGCTGCTCTATCCATTAACGTGGAAGAAAAGGAGAGGCATCGATCGAACGAAGCACTGACGAGATCCCTGTCTTCCAAAAAGCGAAAGGAAAGAGGCGGGATTGCCTCGGGGACTTGGGGGGGGAGGGGAGGGAGGGAGGGGGCTGCAGAAAAGCCTTCCCGATCGGTGTCTTTTAGGATGAGGAGCCGATGAGGATGACTGCTGCTGCTGGGAGCAGTCTGGAGCGCCAATGAGGCGATCTTCCCGGGGGCAGGAGAGAGAGAATAAATTAATGTGGCATGAGTCCGCTTGTGCTTCTGGATCCACAGACACGTATCTCTGGCTACGAGGCATTTGGTGCGGGGTGGCGGCGTGTGCAGGGGGTGGGGGAGGCGGTGCGGGTCGCTCAGGGAGGGAGGAAGAGAGGAGGAGAAGCTAGGCTCTCTTTCTCCTTCCTCCCATTTTGCACGAGCCTTCCCCCCCCCCACTCCGCACCAGCTCCCCTCCCCCACACACCCTCCCCTTCCCAGCAGCTCGCCTGGGCTGAGATCGCCCGTCGATTAAAAGGGCAAGGATCTTTTAATTAAAAGCTCCTAATTGTGCCCATCCCGAGACGTGCCGTCAGCCTTTTTAACTCGGCAGCTAGTGTGTGTATGTGTGTGTGTTGCGTGTGTGCGCGCGTTTGTGTTTGTGCTCGCAGCCCCGTTTGTGTGTTTTGGAAAATCGCAGCCCTGCAAAAGGGGTGTGAGAAGAGCAGAGGCAACCGCCTGGGCTGCTGTCACGGCGGCGCCCCCCCCCCTACGTTAGATGGGGAGGGTGCTCTTCTGCACACACACACACACACACACACACACAGGCCCAGGCACGGCACACCACCGGCCCTGCTCCGTTGAGCGTGCAGCTGAAGTTTCCCTGAGAACACCCCGTCCCTCCACTCGGGGGTGGGGGGAACCCCCAAAGGGAAGCAGCCTGGATGGCACACTCCGCCTGTTGCTCGCCCATCGCCGGAAGCGACGCTGGGTGGAGAGACATGCAACTTTGTATGGGGGGGATGGACGAGGGTCGCTGCTAGCCCAGGGTTAGTCAGCAGCGCTGCTGGGGCGCTAGATCAGGACAGCCGATCTCCTAAGCTGCAAAGCACACGAGCTCCTGGGCCGAGGTTGGCTTTGCCCGGGGGCCTTTCCAGTCGAAGGCAGCAGAAGCAGAAAGAGACTTGGCTTTTTTCGACTCCCCAGAAGAATAAGCATTAAGTGGCTCTGGGGTTCAGGGAAGCTACGTCGAGAGGCATTCTTTCAGATCTCCCTTTCTGTCTTCGCTCTTCAGTCCCCCTCTTTTTTAATCGTGTCGTTTGGCCTCTTGGGAAGACTCCCTGGCTGGGTTTGAAAGTCGCCCATTGGGGAAGGACTCTAGCTATTTCTCACCTTCCCCCCCCCCTTAGCTGTAATATTGGAAAGTGAGACAAAAGAACAAAAACTGGAAGGTTTGCTTTCTTTTGTTTCCAAAGGAAGATTGGGCATTTATCCCTTAGGGTCGCTCTACTTCTATTTGCCATCTATGTATGCTTACAAAGAAGTAAACCCCACTGAATATAGTGGGACTTGCTCTCAGGTCAGTGTGCATAGGATTGCAGCCTTAGAAGGCTTGTGGCCTTGGAGAAAATGGGTTGCATTAGAGTCCCACTGCACCAGCCGCCCTCCCTGCAAATCCGTGGTCTTAGAATAGGCTCTGATTTTTCCATGAGAGTGTACAAAAATGGCACCAAATGCTAGTTTGTCCTTATATCAGTGCTTAGTTTACAAGAGAGGTTTTTGCAATGCCCCCGCTTAGCTACTGTTTTTAGAATACCACAGGTGATCACAGTTTAGCTAAAATTGGAGGGGGTAGCAAGGTGAGCTTGTGGATTTAATTCAGTGGCCCCTATCTTTTCTATCATAATTGGAGCATTGCCTTATATCTAGCTAGGACTGTGATATGCAGTGTTTGGTGCATCTTTCAGTTGTGAGATACTATGGCTTTTGTTAAATAAGGATCAAATCCACATCATTTCGAGAAGGCATGTATGCAAACAATATTTTTCATGTAAAACTAATGGTGCTTTTGTTGCTCATTTGTGGAATATACAAATCATTTTGGCTGTAGGAATATGACATTTCCCTACAATAACATCTTACTCTAGCAACAACATGTGATTATGCATAAGTGCCACAGTCCTTTACTGTAGGTACTGCCTCCTCAATGTTGTCCTGGGCAAGGGTCTCTAGTCTGGGGCTAGTTAGCTTCATGACCAATTTGTTGGTGAACTTGAATGTCAGTGAATTGCAAGAGTTCCAAAAGACAAGCTTAGGCCAAGGTGAACTCCAGATTGCCCAGTGGCCTTTGCAGCTCTAATGAGTAGAAGGATAGATGGATACTGCTAGTAAGAGAGGAGTGCCATTGCACTCAGGCCTTGCTCTTGAGCTTCCTATAAGCATCAGGCTGGCCACTGTCAGAACAGGATGCTGAGCTAATGGGTCTTTGGCCTGATACAGCAGGGCTCTTTTCATGTCCTTTTTCACAGAGTGATGAAACTCCTCCCTCTCCATGCCCACACTCTATTGTAGACCTTTTTCTGTTCCAGTCCTGTTGGAAGTCAATGAGACTACATTCAAATAAACATGGATAGGTATGAGTAGCACAAGGTTTTGTGTGTGCGTGTTGGTTATATCAGAGACTGAGCAGTCAGTCATGTATTGTACCACTCCAGTGTTGGACTACTTAGACATCCCAGTAAGACTTTTCTTCTTATTTTCTTTTTCTTTTCACGAAACAGCAAACACCAAGTAGTTGCCAATGTTCTCTACCCTACCGCTCTGCCACTTTGTGACAGTTCAGTCTTTGAAAACCCTTGACTGTTTTTAAAAAAGTTGTGTTTCTCTTATTTATTTATTTGAAAGTCCTGTTGCTCTTTATTTACTTATTTTGTAAACAAGCAAGCAGTAGTGTGGCTGTTGCCACCCTGTATTGTGTTTCGCCAGGATATCATACTGCTCTTGCCTTTGAATCAG